GTTTGGCTGGTGTGTATGGTGACTTCTTATACATGCCCCCATGTACACTCTTTGTGGTTAGTGACGAGTACTTACTATTCATTGACATGGACTTGCCCCCCAATCCTCCCTTGTCCATAATCTCATGCTTACAAAATCCATGTGAGGGTTTGATTTCTTTTGTCTTCTTGGAGATGTTGTCTACTTCATTCTTCATGGTGGGTGAAATGCTCCCTTGTCCAGACTTAGCAAAATTTGCGAGACTGTGACAACTCTTTCTGCCTTTTCCACGTCTTTCCTTGTTGGACTTGCCCCCATGTCCACTGTTTGTGGTTGGTGGCATGCTTTCTTGTCCAGACTTAGCCATATTATCATATTTATCACAAACATGTGAGGCTTTGGGTTGATGTGGCTTCTTGGAAACCACCTTCCCCCTAGATGGACATCTCGACTTCTCTTCGTCAACCTTAAAACTCTTCTTGCAATGAGCACACAAATTCTCAACTTCATCAATCATCATTGCGGCCAGGCTGGCCTGCTTGGTACATGACGAGCTTCCTTGGTCGAAAACCACGTTGGGTCTCTTTTGAGGCGGTGTTGTATCCAACACCAGCTTGAAGCGTGGTAACTCGACTTTGGAGAAGTCTGGGTTGACCATGTTGATGCCAAGCACCTTGGGGAACGGATCAGTGTCCACCAACATGGCATCCTTCTTTGCTTCAGGGAACTTGATACGTCCCTTTTCAATGGCATCCTGCAAGACATTACAGAACACCATACAAGCATCAGTGGCATGTGACATGCTATTATGCCACTTACAATACTTTTTTCCTTTTAATTTCTCGGGTGAGGGAAAGACATGCCCCCCTGTCAACTTGACTTGACCATCCTTATAGAGTTGGTCAAAAATCAAGTCTGCCTTGGAGACGTCAAAGGAGTACTTCCTCGACTGAATGGGAGCACGATTGGGTCTCCCTCCTTGTGGTCCCTCTTCCACTTTAGACAAAGAAGCACATGTGTATGGCTTCCCTGGAGTTATCTCAGCCAAATCTACCTCAACCTCATTGGCCTCGTGGCCAATATGATTGATGGTATAGTCTAAGTTTGGGAAGTATGATCCCCTTGATGCACTCCTACGATTCTCTTCCTCGTGTAGAAGAGACTCATACCTCATAGCACAAGACATGAGTTGAAATAAATCAGAGAACTCCCTATCTTGGAATTTCTTCCTTAGTTCAAAACTCAAACCCCCTTGCGCCAGCTTGACGAACTCCCTCTCCGTCAAATTAACAAAGCAACGGTTACGGGCATTCTTGAAGTTAGTCAAGAAATGCTCAACCGATTCCCCTGGTTGTTGGCGCATACGTGCCAAGTCGGCCATGGACACCTCGGGCTCAGATCTGTAAAACTGAGCGTGGAAGACTTGTTCCATCTGTTGCCAAGTCTGGATGGAGTTAGACGGCAAGTTGACGTACCAAGCAAAAGCTGGTCCTGTCAACGAGTTTCCAAACAGTCTTAACTTAACAAAATCTCCTACATCGCCACATTGGACAGTGAAACGTCCAACGTGCTCTACAGTGGACTGATCTCCAGTCCCTGTGAATGTGGCAAACTCGGGAACTCTGAATCCCCTTGGAAATGGGTAAAGTCTATCTACCCATTCTGGGTACGGCTTACGGTATACAGGTGGCATAGTAGGTCTTACTCCCATTCCAAACTGCTCTGTAAGGAGTTGAGCCACCTGATCCCTAAGAGTGTTGGCCTCATGCCCCCCTTGCCCCCCTGGCGGGACGAACCCCATGGGGTCCACACCATGCCCATGGACTTGGGGTGGTATGGGTGCTGGGTAAGCACGTGGAGGAACTTGATCCCCAACACCTAACCTTCCTCCCCCACCCATGTTAGGAGGAGCTACGTAGGGTCTCGCCACCGGGATGGATGGCGGTTGTTCAACATGGGTGTTGAAGGTAGTGGCGAAATTTTCGCCACGTGGGGGAAATTCCCCAACTCCCACGTTAACTGAAGCCTCCACTTGAGTGGTGGCGGGAATCTCGCCGCGATTCACGGGGTGAGAGGTTGGTTGGGTTGTCACCGGCGGCGGTAGGTTATCTTGCCGTGGTTGGCCATTCCGGCCACCGACAGGAGAAAAATTTGCATTGTTTGGAGTTGAACTTGTGCCATCAATTGGCAAAGCTCGTGATTGTACCACTGGTGTGGTCAAAATTCTCCTAAACTCATCAAAATCATTCCTATTTTTAGTTACAATTTCAAAAAGTTGACTTAAACGCCTATCTACACAGGAGTTAAGACAATCAATTTGAGAATTTACCTGAAGAGTGTTGCCAGCCAAAGCTTCCCCCATGAATTGACGAAGTGACCCAATGGCAGCAACTACATCAACGTTGGAGTTTGGTGCCGGCAGCGGCAAGGCTTCCCCGCCGTCATTGTCACCGGAAACCGCTTCAGCTAACCGGCCATGTTCAATGTTGGCCACTTGATCCTCCACAAACCCTGGCGGAGCATCACTTTCCTGATTCTTTCGCCTAGGAGCCATCGAATCAAACACACAGTAGTCCCACCAGGTGTGCCAAATTTGTTTTCCGGCGAGAAAACTTCTTGTGTTTGAACACAATGGATTGCACCTTTGACTTCTATGGACAACGATTTCTAAGACACGGCTCAAACCTCTTCAAACACAGTTCGAACGAGGGTGTTTGATTGATAGTTTTTGGGAACAAGATCTAAATTAAATTACTCCTACTCCTATGGAGGTTCAGCGAGAGCTCCAAACTACGACTATGACTACATTTGCAGAGAAAGGATAAAACTTGACGTAGGCGTCAGTTGTTTGGTTGTGGAACCCCTGTCTCTATCGACCCCTCCTCTTATTTATAGCCCCGAGGAGGTAACCGTCATAGAAAACCGCTTGTTGGATAACTGCTACAAAGAACCGCTCCCCCTTCTTCGGTAGAAAAAACCGCCCATTGGATAACTCCCAAAAAGAACCGCTCCCTGTTTCCTCGGAGTGGTGGCTACTCCTTCAACCGCCTAGGGGCCTCTCTTGTAACCGTCGTGGGTCTTGGAGTGTAGCTTGCCTCGCCTAGTCTTGTTCTGAATCTTGTGTCATGCTAGTCTTTTGATGAGCATGTGGTGTCTCACAAAGGGGGTCGTGGTCTTCTTGCTTCGCGGCCATGGACTTCTTACTCATGTCCATGGCCTTCTTGTCTCGCGGCCATGGACTTCTTACTCATGTCCATGGCCTTCTTGTCTTACGGCCATGGACTTCTTACTCATGTCCATGGCCTTCTTGTCTTACGGCTATGGACTTCTTACTCATGTCCATGGCCTTCTTGCCTCGCGGCCATGGACTTCTTACTCATGTTCATGGCCTTCTTGTCTCGCGGCCATGGACTTCTTACTCATGTCCATGGCCTTCTCGTGACACAACATGGCCCTCTCATACTTACTATCTTTTCTTGCGTCCATGCCCCTTCTCGTGAAGTGGCACGTGCTTCTCCTTGAAGTGGCATGTACCTCTTCCAGACTTAGTTTATTTTTTCACTCCTTCGGTCTTATTGGTGAGGCGGCATGGCCTCTCTTTAGACTTAGTGGCTTGGGCCTAAAATCAATATCCATAAGGCCCAACTGAAACAACATTAATTGTTCTAATGGGTGTGGCCTTATAAACTCATTAATTATCTTGTAACTCACCAATGTGGTACAAGACAAATTTTATGGTGTAAACAAGAGCAAATTAACACATGCATGTTTCTTTGGGACATGTAGAAACATACCGGGCCCATTTCATGACAATCAATCACCGCCGGCTGCTTCTTTAATTTCCAGAATTCGTTAAATATTAACGAGAAAGCAAGCTTTAGTGGTTAAAATGTCTCACCGGCGCCGGTCAATTGGCTTTAGTCAGATCGTGAAGTTTCGCGGCGCCTGTTACAAAGTGAAGTTTCAGCGTGGAAAAGTACGGCCCGGCTTTAGAAAGTTCCACGCGATAATGCATGCAGGGAAGCTTTCAACGCGGTACGTACAGGTTAGGTCATTATAAATTATAATAACCATTGCACAACTGATACTCTCTACCCTTTTCTTATCGAGTTTAGTTACCGAGCCAGGATGTAACCAGCTAATGATAGCAATTTTGAATGGTATTACTCGATCTGATCTACGGTGAACGGGGTAATATCTCATTCGTAATAATGCAAAACGGGAAATCGCATGAGTACTATTTTCCCTTTGTCCTTCCCTGTGTTTTTACTCGGTTTTACTTCAATTTGGCTCAATATCTATTTTTATTTCTTTTATTTTGACTCATATCTTAACTCATGTTTTCACCCTATGAAATTTTAGAGAAGCGCAAGACTTTATATTTGAACTAATCGGGCTCAATTATTTTACCTATTATTATCTCTATTTATCATTTATGGAATATTTTCTCTTTTCTTTATTGTAAAAATTTTCTTCAAATCATATATAAGAATGAGCCGACATGTCTTGACCTAACCCTTATTTGATCTGGACGAGTATGAATATCGAGACACGATGTCCTACTAAACTAGCTTCTCTTAAAAATAAAACTAATCACCCTAAACAACATTTGTTACCTTAACTATTTTCTCATATACATTGGCGCTGGTCGTTGTCGTGGCTGCTGCTTTTCGAACAACCTTTCTTCGTCAAGCCATTGTTAAAACTCAAAAGTTGCTTAGTGCAAGATGGCACCTTCCATATTCCCGGTAATTACAGAACCAACACCCTAATATCCCTCTTACACACATTAATAATCAGCTAATATTATATATAACAACTATAATAAGAGTCCATAATATACCAAAAAAAAAAAAGTGCAACATTCCTTCCACATGCAGCAAGCAACATTCGTCAACTCATCAAAAACAAACCCAATCGTCAACCTAATAAACATTACTTGCATATTAAACCATATATGAACATAACCAGCTTCTATAAATAACTCCCTGATGTTGATGCTTATTTCACCAAACAAATCACCATCAGCTAAATAATCAATCTCATCAGTCGCAACCAAAAAATGGCTTCTCGTGGTCTAATTCTCCTGACCTTCTCCCTTTCCCTACTACTGCTCTCTTGCTCTAGCACCCAAGCCCAGCTCTCCGCCAACTTCTACTCCTCCACCTGCCCCAACGCCCTCTCCACCATCCGCTCCGGCATCCGCACCGCCGTCCAGCGCGAGCGCCGAATGGCCGCCTCCTTGATCCGGCTCCACTTCCACGACTGCTTCGTCCAGGGCTGCGACGCCTCCGTCCTCCTCGACGACACCTCCTCCTTCACCGGCGAGAAGACCGCCCGCAACAACCGCAACTCCGTCCGCGGCTTCAACGTCATCGACGCCGTCAAGTCCCAGCTCGAAACTTTATGCCCCGGGGTCGTCTCCTGCGCCGACGTCGTGGCGGTGGCAGCCCGCGACGCGTCGGCCGCCGTCGGCGGGCCATCATGGGCGGTCACCCTCGGGAGGAGAGACTCCACCTCGGCGACCCTAGCCGCGGCGGAGGCCAACCTCCCCTCGTTCAACGACGGCCTTGACAGGTTCGTAGTATCGAAACCATAAATTTGAACCAGGGAAAACTGAATTGAATTCTGGTGATTTGGGGATGGACACTAAAGAGTTACGATTATTCTTATTCTTAAATTTGTGCAAAATTTACATTCTTTAATTGTTCGTATTTATGAGAACTAAAAACTCAAGTTCCATTCAAATTAATTACTTTGATTAACAGTTTTTACATAAATTGTAAGTAAAAAAACAATTTGAATTAGAATGAAGAGTGCAGCGAGAATTTTTACTTCAATAATATTATTATTTTGTTTTTCTTTTACTTCGCAATAACTTGAGATATAATCCCACAGAGATTCCAAGTAATTTTATCTATATTTTAAAACAGAGTAGGCCTACAGCGCTGCTTACTTCAACTTAACTCCATCTCTGCAGGCTCGTTAACTTGTTCGGCACGAAAGGGCTGAGCGCGAGGGACATGGTGGCTCTCTCCGGGTCCCACACCATCGGCCAGGCCAGGTGCGCCACGTTCCGCGGCAGGATCTACAACAACGGTTCCAACATCGATGCCAACTTTGCCACTACGAGGAGGCGGCAGTGTCCCTCGGCGGCCGGCGACGGCAACGACAATCTGGCGCCGCTGGATCTGGTGACGCCCAACTCGTTCGACAATAATTATTTCAGGAATCTGGTGCAGAGGAGAGGGCTGCTTCAATCCGACCAGGTGTTGTTCAGCGGTGGGTCGACGGACGGGATTGTGAATGAGTACAGCAGGAACGGGAGGGTTTTCAGCTCGGATTTCGCGGCCGCCATGGTTAGGATGGGGAGTATAGAGCCGTTGACTGGTTCTCAGGGACAGGTCCGGCGGGTTTGCAGTGTTGTTAATTGATGGGATGGACAACTAAAAGGGTAATGGTTATGAGCTCTTTGTGGTGTTATGTGTGATTGTTTGCTTGCGTTTCAAGCTTTTGTTTGATTTGATTTATTGCGTTGGGAAGAAGACAATAAACGGCACATCGAGTACTGTGTGTTAAGTACTGTTTTTTCTTTTCGTCTTTCCAAGTGTAAGATGTATAATTATATGGAGTTTTATTGTAATACCTCACAGAAATCTCATATCCATAAAACATGAGAAATCTATATTTTTTTAAGAAATATACAATCTTAATATAAAAATCGAATCTTATAACACGGGAGAGATATATGTGGGTTAGTAAGCAATTCTACGACTAGCCATTAAACAAGTTGATTAATAATAAGGCTTAATTGTAAGTTTGGTCACTCGAATTGCTATAAAATTTCATGTTTGCTACTCAAATTAATTAATTTCATTTATAGTCACTTAAATTAGGTTAACAGTAGGGATGACAATTTACTCAACCATGGGTAATTTTGTCCAAACCCAAGTAGACCCATTTATTATGGGTAGGGTTTGGGTGATGTGTGTATGGGTTTGGGATTTGTATATGGATTTGGGTTAGATATGGATATTATCTAAATGGGTATGGGTTGGATATGGATATCCATTTACTTGAGGGTGTTTTAACTACACATACAAATATTGGACCTATTTGTAAAACTTGAAAAGTTTAGGCACCAAAATATGAGACCAAAAAAATTTAGGTACTAAAATGTAATTTTTCATCAATATTTTGAGGACTTATACGCAAAAAAATTTAATTTAGGTACTAAATATGTATAACTATTAAGTTTAGGTACCAAACTGTAATTTACATTTGGATATGGGTACAAACCCAAATCCGTATGTTAAAAACCCAACCGAACCCAACCCAAATAAATGAGTATGGGTACAAACTCATCAAACTCTACCCATCTAACATATATTTGGATTTCATACCCAACTCAATTGAGTTGGACAGTAAAATACCCATGGGTATGTGTAATATTGCCATCCCTAGTTAACAGTCCAAGTTTGGTCACTCTCTGTTAGTCTCCGTTAACTTTTGCTGATGTGGCAGTCAACTCTGATCTTTGACCGTTAAATGTGTGACATGGCAATTAAAAAATTAAAAAATTTAATTTTTAATAATTTCCACCTCATTATTACAATTAATTAAAAAATGTCACAATAATTAAAACATAATTTCCACCACATTGCAAGAACTGGCGCCGGATCGACCTCGACGGCTCTGCCTCCGCCTCGAAACCCTCCCACCCTGAAGTATCGATTCCTCATCGCCTCTAGATCCCCGACGGGGTTCCGGAGAGATCGACCATCAACGACGCGCTGGTCATCCGCAGCTGGGAGAGCGGATGGTGCTTCTAGGGACGCCAACAAGGCCAGATATTCGGCTGCTACAATCTCCGGTTCTGCTGGCCGACCAGCTTCGTCCGACTCCCCGAATCCGCACTCAACGACACGATGGTAGCGGCGCGGCGATCTCGGCCCCACCGACCGCCAGAGAGTGGGCGATCCTCCTGGGGCGCCCGCAGCTTCAAGACGCTAGATGGGTGAGGGTTGCAATAGAATTGAGCCCCAATTGGAAAGGGAAGCAGGGCCATACGAACAGGGATCCATGCTACAGAACTTATAGAGAAAGAACCGATGCACCTAGTAGCTAATCTTTTAAAGAAGATAAAACTTGCAGTCATAGAACACCCCTGATAAATTCTAAGCACCCAGATCCAGGCTTCCACAGGTAAAAGATTAAGTGCTCCCTCTCTTGCACCTAGGGGTGGGCATTGGGTGGGTCGGGTGGATTTTGACCATAAAATGCACCCACCCGCGCTTAAACGGATTGATAATTTTTAACCCACCACCCACCCACATTTAGTCTCGGGTTGGGTCGGGCGGATGGTGGATGATGCGGGTGGGTTTGTGGGTTCACCCACATCACAATTTATATAATATAAAGGAGTCAACTTGCACTATAATAGGTGAAGAGAATCATCGAGGGAACTCAGAAGTTGAAATAGGGCGAAAAATGTCGAATTAGTTCTTAAATTGGATAGAAATTCTATTATGAAAGAGTTTTCTACAGATTGAGACGATTATTAGGTGCAAGGAACTAAGGAAAATAACTCCACAAAGGAAAGAGCGTTGATCTAGGCACAAGAATTAGAGGAAAAAGTAAAGGGAAGAAGAGGGGATCTCTATTTGGAAGGTTGGCTTTGAAGTTCAAACTCCAGGAGCAGTCCGAGTTTATATCTAACGTCTCCACTCTCCTCTCTCTAGCGCCAACGACTTTGATTTTTTTGCTGTTGGGTTGAGCGGGTCACCCGCACACTCACCCACAACCCACCCACCATCCGGCGGATGGCTCCCAGCGCAACCCGTCACCCACCCACAGACGCACCCACTTAACAAAATTCGGGTCAAATGCGGGTGGGTCGGCCCAAACCCGCGGATGATCCGCCCGCATGCCCAGCCCTACTTGCACCCACAAATTTGCAAAATTTCATTAACCCCTGAATTTCTGCTGCCGGAAGCGCGATGGAGATTCCCCGATTCGTTTTCCTTGTTGCCATACCTGTATTTAATTCGGTTTGCGGAGCTCTTGATTCACGGGATGGTTCTAAAGCAGAGCTTTCTTCTGCGCAAAATGTCGGTGGTGAAACCGGAATGGTTTTCGCTTTTTATTAGACGGTAAAAAAAAAGAAGCTTTTTTCAGCTCTTTCACAAACGAACCTCCATAGGCCATCGATTCCGATTATCAGAACGGAAACCCCCATCAATTCCTCTGTCTTTCCTACTTCATCCTCGCAACCAACCCTAGTTGAGGAGACTGATCAATAGACAGGTGTGGCGAGAATCGGTTCTCGAGTCTAACCAGGTTTCTTCTAAGCCAACTCGGCGGGAATAAGAAGCGTCGCCCTCTGAGTACTCGCCCGCAACAGCGAGGACGACAGCGGCGACTGGTTCAGGCGGCCGAGGCGAAAGTGGTGCAGCTTGGTCGCCGGCCAGAGGAAATAAAAATTTTATTTTTTATTTTTTAATAGTTTTGAAAATGAGGTGGAAATTATAAAAATATTAAATATTATTTTTATAATTTTTTAATTTCCATGTCACACATTTAACGGTCAAAGATCAGAGTTGACTGCCACATTAGCGAAAGTTAACAGAGACTAACGGAGAGTGACCAAACTTGGACTGTTAACCTAATTTAAGTGACTATAAATGAAATTAATTAATTTGAGTGGCAAACGTGAAATTTTGTAGCAATTCGAGTGACCAAACTTGCAATTAAGCCCTAATAATAATAATAAATTTCTCAGGATTTAGGAAGAAACTAGTAATTTAGACACTCTTATATTGTCTCATGTGATGTGTAAAGGTGTTAATTTAAATTCAATTGTATAGAGAAAACTGACACATTTTGCGTCTTAGATACAATTAATAGTTTATAATTTGCATTTTAATATCTAATATTGGACATTACACAAACTAGTAACAACTAACAAATAATACTAGTACAAAAATACTTTTTTTTATAATGGCGAAGATATATTAAAACAGAAAAAGGTAGAAACGTACAGGTCCAACAAAGACAAAGAACGGAAAAAAGGAAAAGAAAGAAATGGAAGGGATCATAAGATCCGATCCCAACTGCAAAACGAAAAAGAAAAAAAGAAAGTACAAAAATACTCTTTATTCTCCACCTTTAGAAATCGATGGTCAATGTGTAGTGCGATTAGAAAACATTATAGCTATTAAATAATATAAATAAGAAGCAACTCTTTTATCATGTGAAAATATGGTGTGGGTCATTCGGGTGACCAGCAAATCTACCCACATCAATCACCGACACACTATGTTTCGAATTAGTAGCGGGTGGATTGATGTCGAACTGTTGATAAACCAGGTGACTGCGTGCCAAAAACTATTCCTCAAATCAATTACACAAAAATAGAAGTATACTACCAAAACTTGGTCACTAAAGTAGGTTTTAATTGAAAATATACTACCGCATCCGTATACATCATGCCTGTAACTAACTAAACATCAATTGAAACAAAATTCCAAAACAGAAAACAAGCCAAAACCCATAAAAAAAAACACAAGGAGAAAATATTTATAAATATTAACTCGCCGGTACTCTAAACTGCGATTATTGAAATGACGATCAACGAACCGCGAATAAACAAAGATATACTAATGATGAGAACGAAGCTTAATTATATGCTAGCTCTGCCGCCCGCGCGCGTCTTGGAGTAACTCTAATCTGTGAAGAGATCAATAAAATTCCAGACCCGTGGACCGACCGATCGAACTATTAATTCTTGCTCCAGTCGTCGTCGTCTTCAACGGCCAGCATCGACTAGAGCGGGAGGTGGTGGTGAGAAGAAGAATAGGGAGAGTAAGGGGATCCCATGAGATACGACGGCGGGTTCCTTGACGGGGTCAACGGGGACATCGGCGTCGGCGGCCCCGATGACTTCATGCCACGGTGGCCGCCGCCGCCCTGCTGGCCGTACGCCTTCTCGCCGCTCTTCCTGGGCCCTTTCTCCGCCCATTTCAGCTCCGCCTGCTTCATCGTCCCCGGGTATCGGGAGCAGCACCCTGTCGTCCCTGCTTTCTTTATGTACCTGCATTCATCACCCAATTAAAAAAAAAACACTTGTGAAAAGCGAATACTGATGTACTATGAGTGTGTTTGATGTCAGCTCACACAACGTTGTTTTTTTCTTTTACTTTATAAACTGTGCCTCTTATTTGGTTTTTCCCTTCACCTTATATTATATTTGGAATTCTAAATTGAAATTTGAATATTCATGTTATATGAGTTTATCAGAATTTTTATTGTAACTTGGATCTAAATGTTAGCTGTTGTTTTTATATAATGTTATTCCCAACAGATGAGATTTAATATTATTTATAAATATACGAATAATATAATGATTGAATTTTTCATATGTCCATACTAAATGATCACGCTAAAGTTATCGGATTACTAACTCTCAGCCCACTTGCCTGAGAGAGCAAACGCGCTAAACCAGGTTGACAACATTGGTGCTTATGCCTATGTTTGGCCCAACTTTTAGAAGTGTTTTAAAAACTCAAGTCGGGCCAACACCTCTACAAGCTCGCTTTTAAAAAAACTGAAAAGTTTATTTTATAAAATAAAAGAAGAAACTCTGATTTGAAGTTTCTACCAAAAACTGTTTTGATTCTTACTATTTTTTTAATATATTTTGAGGAAACATCTTCTCTTTCGTTTGTAACAATTTTAAAAATAAAATAAATCATGAAATAATAATATATACTGCAAAATAATTCAAAAAAATCCATTTTGATTATCTTTTAATATTTTATTTATTTTGTGCTCGTATTTTATATAAGAAAACTTTTTTACCATTTTACATGACCACTTATATTAAAAGAAATTTTAAATAATTTTTCCGTTAAACACTCCATCAATTGTTTAGTAATCCTTTTTCTAAAAGTTCCAAAAAGAAGTTGGTTTTACAAAAGTTAAGCCAAACTATAGTATATGCCAAAAGGAAAGCGTGTTATTCTGTCGCACATTGTGTTCTTGTACAAGGCGGCCATATGGGAATTTGGACAGACAGACAGTTAGGCCGGCCGGCGAAAGGAGAGGTTGTCTGTCCGGTAGCGGGTTGGAAAGTCCTTTTTCGGACGTATCTCTACAATGGCGGTATATGAGGGTGCATGTGTGCCTGTTCTTGGTGGGATTTTGCTGGATGATATTTACAAAGTCTGAATTCTTCAAACAATGAGATCAACGCAACCCATCTGGCATAACGTTACAATGCCGCAAGCAAACCCAACAACTTGCCTATCTAATATAATATCTATTTTATGATTGCTTTTTTTTCTTTTTTTTACTCTTCTTGTAGATGGCATGTTTGTTGACACCAAAGTTAGAACTTAGAATCCAAATGCAGAGATGTTATTATCAATGTTGTATGTAAAAGTTACCCTTATAAAACCTCCAGTGAAAAATGGGGCAAAGGGTAGGTAATTATTTTATTTACCTGGCACTGAATCTTCTGCCTTGACACTCGATGCATTTTCTCCCTTCTGGCATATTCCCCATGCCCATGTCCACGCAGTTCCTGCAGTACACTCTCCCACAAACCTGCAAACCATCAACATGTCACCCAATTGTTTTCATACATCCAATCTGATTGGACAAGGGGATCGATAATGAACAAATTTTCAATCGATATGTTATGTTCCAGCAATACTACTGCGATGATTGACATTGTTGGGAAAGATTCAAGTATGTATTTATTTCATTTACTTATACGTGCATTTAAACGAAAATAAATCTAACTTTTATGCAGACCAATCACATATGTGCGAAAATATCTTGTTAAATTAATGGTCGTAAGAATTTGAGTATGAAACCTCTCCATTAAAAGCATTAATACTAAAATAGCATCTACGAAAGACTACATTATGTCAAGCAAACAGAGTTAATAAAAGAATTGAATGATTGAATCTTATACCTACCAAAGTGCAGAGGTTTTAATTGTTAACGAACAAAAAATTTGGTTACAATAATTAAACTTGTTGGGAAAAAATTAGTTATGGATCAATCTCATATCATTCTCTTACACGTCCCCGAACTCAAGAGATCAATTTTAAACTTTGTATTTTAATCAACTATTAATAATAATGTAGTCAGCAAAAATTCGACCAACATTGAAGTTGTACGGGGGAAAATGATAGCTTTTGAATTACTTACGAGGCAGCGGTTCTTGAAGATGTAGATGTAGGTAGAACAAACGGTACAGATGTTGGAATGAGGGATCCCCGGCCTCCGCCCTTTCCCCATCACGTCATACGCCGGCGTCCCGCCGCTCGTCGCCATGCTGATCCCGCTCACGTCATAAGGCGACATAGGATACTGCTGCTGCCGCCGCGAACCACCGTAATGATGCGCCGCCGGCGTACCACCACCCTGCTGCTGATAATGACGACCCGACGCGGCGGGGCTGATCATCCCGTGCGGCGAGCCCATCAGGCTAGACTGCCTCGAGCTCCTGTTGTTGTTATTGTACCCATCGTAAGACACGTCCGTCACCGCCGGCGACGCCATCCGCGCGGAGCGGGGCTCCTCCTCCTCCTCGATGCGGGCGGCCTCGAGGCCCCGGTTGAAATCGAGGGAAGGGATCTTGTTCAGGGAAGGGATTCTCGAGGGGACGACGACGGCGGCTCTGTTGGTGTTGTTGACCATCATCTCCTGGAGGGGACCGGAGGTCGGCTTCGAGGGACGCCGCCGGTCGGTGCTCCGGTCCATGGAGCCGGATTTCTGCTGGTCGACTTTGCCCATGTCCTGATATAATAAGGAATATATAACTCTGTCAAATTAACAGAACACAATACGTACGCGTATTATAACGTTATTACGGCTCGTATTAAATGACTTATGTGTTACCCCTTGGTGGCCACCGATAAGTTCGTATTGAATGCTCGTAGGATTTGTTGGGTATCTATGGCGTTGGGATTTGCCATGGCAAGACAGATTTCTTCTCGTATTTAAAAAAAAAAATACTGCTCGTACTATCCATACCTGGAAGGTGAGGTTGACTGACTCGTCGGGGATGCCGGAGTAGAGCTCCTCCAGCTCCATCCTCGCCATTGCCACCGTTCTCTGCTTGTTATCCCCCATTGACCTTTTTTTTTTCTTATGAATTGTATTGTGGGGTTTTTGGGTTTGGAGATTATGGGGGTGATTGTTACTGTGGAGAGAAGAGAAGGGAGGGTTGGATATATATGTGGAGATGGGTAATGGTGATTTGGTCGAGAGAAAGGAGAAGGGAGAAGGGGAAGGGGAAGTGAACATTGGAAGTGAAGACGGTGGGAAGAAGACAAACAAAAGGCGGGGAAGGTAGGCCGGACGAAACGAATGTTGAGAAATTTACAGTTTTGGAAGCGGCAAATCCGTTTGGAATACAAAGCTGGCTGTTGCTGGCTGGCTGGAACATGTTACAATTGTAGAGCTGACAGTGGGCTCTCGATCGATCGATCGGCTTTGGTACTTAGCTGCTAGCTAAGTGGAAAAAGTGGAAACTTCCGTTGGGATGTTTGACAAAATTAGGTCTTTTACATAGGATATACTAGCTGACCAGGTCCACAAAGCTAATCACGCTGGTCTAGGCATCAATAATCACGATTTTTTTTTTTAAAAAATCTATGTGATATTTCTGGATATTAATTAATCTTGATGATTGGAGGAAGTTTTTGTTTTCCAAAATTTCCTGTTGGATTTTTCTATTAAATTCACTGGCAAAATAATGATGAGGAACCGGCTTTCAGAAATTACAAAAGTACGTTGTGTGTCCAAATTTTTATTGTTTGTCTATCTATCGTGGTAAATTGATTCCGTGAGTATAAAAAATGTAATGATTTTGTAAGAAAATATTTTTAATACCAGAAGTGAATGATAAAAAATCATTGGCTCATAATTGTAGGAAGTATCCAAGAAGAGAAAGTGCTAAAATCCTAGGAAAAATCTTGGGACTTGACTTGTTTAACAACGCTCTGGTCTTTGGAGAAGGGTTTAGCCATAGTGTAGCTGGAGGGAGGGAGGGAGCAAGGATGAGGACATAGGTTGAATCTTTGACAGAAGAAGAAATGGCAACTAAGAGTGATGAAGTCGATAGAGGACTGGTTTTAATTTTAATCAATTTACTAAGTGACATAAAAAAAAATTCAAAATTGAATTTAAAATTTTCATATCATATATCACGTCAATGCTGACTGAATTTTCTGTTAATGTTAATATTAATCGATTTAGTTAACATAAAATGACCGTTCACAATCTAATTGTTATATTGAACAAAATAGAAAAGAAGTGATATTTTCTTGATGGTTCGAATTTTGTAATGGATCCTTCAGAAGTGTAGGCCTGGGCCAAAGGCCCAATAGAAGTATCTCGGCCTTCTACCTCTAAGGAGATTAGGGGCGTTTCTTCTCGCCGATCAAGTATCAACTACCTTTCTACTCGAATCCGTTCTTCGCTGGCGTTCTACTAGCGCCTCATATAAAGGAAGTTGGGGAAACAGCAGCGCCCAGCGGAAGTGTGGGAAGACTACGTCACGGCGGTCTGATCGGCTCCCCGTCATCTGCCTCCGTTTCTTCAATCGGCGGCGTAACGTAATTCGCTTCTGCCAATTTGATTGCTGTTCTCCTGAATCCCGCTACTGTCAACGGAGCAAAATTTCCCTCTTTCTTCTCTCTTACTAGTCATTTGACATCCGGCGACGGAGATAGAGGGAATTCTTTCAATTCGCGCCTTCATGTCTCGCTTCTCTTCCGAGTATAATAACTAGGGCAGCCGCCGGGGAAAGACGCGAAGAGCTGCTAAACTACTTCTCAATCGAATCTCCGTTGCCAGGTAAAAAATCTTAACAGATATCTAATTGCTTTCTAGCCAGGTTTAAGGATCCATATATGGTCAATTCATCATCTTCCGTAGCATCTGAGGTGATTGCTTTACAAGAAAGTTACTGAATTAGGCTTCTATCGATCTACTTAGTTTGAAAGCATGGATTTTATGTGTAAATTACGAAGTAATCCCAATTGTTTGAAAGCTTGGATTTTTATTATATGGTTTGTCTTCTTCAGTGGGTGTCAAACGCAAACTAGAAAGATGGATTCATCGCAGAACATGACCGGAGGAAATGGTGGTAATGGCGCATTACCTGCTCAGGCAAATGATATTGCGACAGCAAATGCATCAGCCAATGACCCAAAGGAGAATCTAAACCAAGTTATCAACTCCATCCAGAAGAATCTTGGCCTCATCCACCAGCTTTACCTCACTGTGTCCTCCTTCAGTGCTGCTTCACAGGCTCCTTTACTCCAGCGGCTGTACTGTATCCTAACCTTCGTTTGCTTTCCGTTTGGTGTTATATACTAGATAGTCTGTTTTTTGGGCGCTATTGAGCAACTTGTTTGACATCAGAGTCTGAATTTCGCAGTAATGGCCTCATCACCGAGCTAGATAATATGGATAAATTGGCTGAGAAGTGCAATATACAAGTTCCCATGGAGGTTATTAAGTATGTCCCTCTGTCAATTATGTCGTTTTTGTGCATCCATGCAGGAGCTCTTATTCATTCGTACCTAATATGAAGTTATTGTATCTTCTTTTCTTGTTAGTTTGATTGATGATGGGAAAAATCCAGATGAATTCACACGAGATGTCATAAACAGCTGCATCGCCAAAAACCAGGTTACCAAGGGGAAAACAGATGGCTTTAAGGTACTAATTGATATGTCCATCTTTTCCACTGCGCATTTTATGTGAGTTATATCGTTGATGGTATGAAGAGTTTGTCTGGATTGGTTATAGATTCATACAACTTGTTTACATTGACAGGCTCTACGTAAGAATCTCCTGGAAGAACTAGAGCAGGCTTTTCCTGATGAAGTTGAATCGTACAGGGAAATACGTGCTATTTCTGCTGCTGTAAGTTCATTTCCACTTCTATTTTTTCTTTTTTCTTTCCCCAGAGAGCTTTCAGTTTTACAGTAACTTGTAGTATACGATGTACATCATCAATAAGGTTGTGCCACTCCATGCTATACCTTTGTCTAATTGTATGTCATTGTGGTATCATTGATTATATATGAGGACGTGCGCTTTAACTATGAGTGTATATTTCGCACAGTTGAAGAAATTTTGTTTTGCAGTACGGCTCTGCGCCATTAGGCCCCATATAATTAGGAAGCCTCTGTAGCCCTGTTATGCTGGCTGGAAATTGGATTTACATGTAGAATGAGTGTCTAGATGCTCGAGCTAGCTACTTCATTCTCATTTCTGAGTGTCTTTTCATCGTGCTACTAGAAGCAGAAAAGGTCATGTTCCATGGCATGTTGCAGGAATCGAAACGCCTTGCCCAAGCACAAAGTTCATTGCCAAATGGAGACGTGAAGGTTAAACCCGAGCTTTGAGGGCTAACATCGGTGACGAATATATGTCTTCCTCCTTCAGTTCTGCATCTTTCTTTTATTGTTTTTACTTCCTTTCCTTGCGTTTCTTCTTCCTCTGCATGTTACCTTGTAGATCTGATGCTGTGCTTTAACTAGATAGGGATGCTTGACAGAAGATTCTATGCTAGTAATGTTGCGAATTCAGGGGGACTGGCGATTATAGTAATTGTGTTGTTATACCTTTCTGGTGTGACTTCCTAATGGATTACTGACTAGAACTGTCCAAATATTCTTACATAACTACATCTGATAAAATTATATTAGTTCCTTTAGTAACTTCCTCACTTTGATGGTTAATGTTGCTAGTTCTTGCCTTTGTAGCGGAACTAAGATATGTACTTGAGAAAGAGCTTACGATTTGTGGCACAATGAGAAAACATAAACATTTTCCAAATGTTCTTGAAATTGTTGTGTATGGCTGTACTTAATCAAGTTCTATCCGATATTTGCTCAGACGAGAGCATATGAAAGAAATCGAAAGCTTCACAATTTTTTTACCCGGATCTGGAAAGTGGTGTCTATACGAAATACTGTTTTTCGACTAAGTTCGGATCTATTTATAAAATGTACATTTATTGGATGTCCTAAAAAATTAAGGGAATATTACTACACAATTTTCTTCATCCATCGAAATTGGCTAACTATTCTAACATCTTCAATCACCAGCACAATTCGTCTGTAATTATATAGTAGCAGACTGACTATTGAGTTAGTACTAGTTTTTCCCCGCCCGTTGGGCGGTGCATTTTTTATTTATTTATCATTGTAATAGTCTAATCTTTTTATGGCTCATATATGTTATACTGTTATACATGGAATATTAAACTCAAATACCTTATTTAAGCAATTGTTTCACACGTTTTAGCTTTTGTTTATTTATATAAAAACTTTAATTTCATAAAATTAGCTATTGAAGATGGTTCTTTATTGATATAGAATTTTGTATCGAAAGCCACCGTTTACGATATAAGTTGAGGATGTCAAAATTACAGAATGAATAGAAATAATTATATCACGCGTTCATTTAGTATCGAACCTGTTGACTACTGTTAAACAACATAAGAGATTATTATTCTTTTATCAAGCAAAAATGACCAAAGAAGTTAAAAAAATAAAAGGCCACAAACGAAGAAGTTAAAATTAAGCAAATAGGTTAAAATTAATAAAAACACGTGAAGATCTTATCCTTTTCTCACTTCTCGTTTGTTGGTATAGGATAACAGATTTTGAAAGAAAACATTGTCATCCATATCATAAATCTTTCGCTATTCATTTAACTTGCATTTGAAGTGTTCTATCAATACCATTCAGCAAACTAAACTGCATATAAACACAATTTATATATAGTAGAGATTTTCATACTTTTCATGTTGCGAAATGATGTCTTTTACCTAATTTCAGCACACACTAATAATAAAAGTGGTAGACTTCAATAAAACTTAACTCATTCTATCTTATACAATCCCCATCCATGAACAGGGATTGATTTCAGCCTAATTGTTCTCTTACCAACTAAGGAAACAAAAAAATGTCATTGTAAACGTGTAAAATTTGAAAGAACATCCACATAGACACACTGTTTACCACAACCGCTTTCTTTCTTCTTAATCGCTTTTATGAAACACCACATATTTCCCGTTTACTTATAATACCTCCTAAATACTACTTGCTGATAAGATCATCATTGTATATACGAACAAGGGCTTGGTCTAGTGTTAATACCACTAGTCTAGAACCTGGAGGTCTCAGGTTCGAATCCCTTAAGTAGTACCTTAATCACAAAAAGAGAAACCTATATCATCCTTATCAAAAAAAAAAAAAAGATCATCATTGTATAGCTAGCTAGTAGTCACTGTAGAACATAAAAAAACACAAAAACATCATACCCTCTCAACTTTGCTTTCCATTCCAGGGCCCATGGAATCATGATGCCATAGGCCTCTAAAGAAAACGATCAATTGTTCAATCAAGGAGAGATGCTCTAAGTCCGAGCAATTAACTCTTCCAATTATTTGTTACCTATTTATATAAAAGTAGAATAGAGAATCGTAAAATAACAACTTGAAAAACAAATAAGAAACCCATTAATATAATCAAGTAGGCAAAATTTTGACCTGCCCCATAATTTGGTACAAAAGAATAACCGGATGAGTAGAAGAGTAGAACTTGGCCGCTCGACCTGCAGGCAGCCGCAAATCATTGGGAAGAGAGACATGTCGCCAGTTGAAGATCAAGAGGAAGAGGGAGCAATTTGCAATCCTCAAATTGGTTCGCTTCGTCTTCGCAAAGTTGGGATGAATGTTTTTTCGTTTACAACCCAAAAAGATGTTACAACTGCTCAATTCCATATGCCTTATCATTTCCTCCCATGTATCTTTGTGTAAAAAAATAGAGAGAAATGCAAGAAATCCCAAAATTTTGAGTAAATAAGAAGATATATAGTTTCCTTGTTTTTTACATGACTTTATCCAAATTGTTATTTCTTCTTCCTACCAGTGTTGGATTTTCCTTTTAAAAATATAAGCTATCGGGAAAAGGGATGGAAGCAAACCAAGAGAATGCATTAGAAATTAAACATTGTTCTTTCCTTAATTTACATTTTATTGATAATAATAATAATGTATTTAAAGTGTAAGCAAAAAAAGAATACCAATTACAATAAGAAGAGCCCACATTTGTTAAAAAAAAAGGAATTAGAAGAGTCCCCTTGGATGGTTGAGATAATGATTATATATTTAAGTGTAAGAAAAAATATCATTAATTAGAAATAAAAGAGCCCACATTTGTATAAAAAAAAAGGAATTAGTAGAGTCCACCGTGAATTATTGAGAGTTAGCTATGTGCCTATATGGCACTAATTTTGTTTTGAATCCCTATAATATTAAGTAAGGATATTTTAGCTTAAAATTCGTTCAACTTACTAGTATCCCTAATCGAACAAGCAATAATTGAAACACCTAAGATAGATTATATTATTTACCTGCCCTAATCGAACAAGCAATAACTGAAACACCTAAGATTGAGTTATTTACTGTAACGAAATTTTCACCCTTTAATTACATTAATTAAAATTCAAAGCCAGCGAGTTTCAGACATACACGTAATTCTTTCTTTTTCTTCTCTCAATTTTTCACCGTCGTTAATTTCTGCATGCATTCCTGTAACCGCGGTTATATAACAAACCACCATGGCCACCAGAAGAAACCCGTTCGTCTCCCAGGTTAATCACAAATTCCTGACGACGTTTCCTCCGTAGCATCAGGTGGCCGCTCTCCATTTCCCAGGGGAACATTTTTTTCGCCGGAAAAAAACTTCCCGTACCGGGATGGCAGCGGCCACCACCAACAACAGGAGGAATTCCCCGGACAGGAAAAGCGAGCAAACGTTGGCCGTCGCCGTCGACAAGGACAAAGGCAGCCAGTTCGCCCTGAAATGGGCGGTGGAGCATTTGGCCAACAGAGGGGATTCCATCGTTCTTCTTCATGTCAGGCAAAGTACATCCTCAACATCATCAGATCAAATCTCTGTTTCCTTCCTTCAATACAATTCTCATTTCATTTCATTTCATCATTTCCCGGATTCTGAATTCCCTTGATTTCAACTTTGTCGCTAGGGGGAGTCGGAGGAACCCCTGGTTCCAACTCCGATCCAAAAGACGACGGTGGCAAGAAGCAGTCCCAATTCGATAATGCAACCAAGGAGCTCTTCCTTCCATTCCGCTGCTTCTGCTCCCGCAAAGAGGTTCGAATTCGATCCCTTCCATTACAAGAACTCTGTTAATTGAATGTGTATCTTCGTTTAATTACATTCCTTGATGTGAACATAGGTGAAAACGATCGAGGTACTTATGGAGGACGCAGACATACCAAAGGCAATCAACACCTACTGCGCTGCCAATTCCATTGAGGCGCTTGTCCTCGGGACACCATCTCGCGGCGGAATCGTCAAGCGATTCAAGCTCACGGATGTGCCCAGCACTGTCATGAAAACGATCCCCGATTACTGCACGGTGTACGTAATCGGGAAGGGGAAGATCCAATCCATCAGAAACGCCACCGCTCCTCCGCCTTCCAGATCCAACCTTCCCGTTGATGGCTCCAGGTCCCGTCGACGAGGTAGGTTCCCCTGTCCTGATAATGTTTCAATTCTACAAATCAGAGCGATGAATCCCGATGACAATGTCATTTTGTGCAGACTATTCACCACCAGAAAGCATGATCGACGACGAATCTTTTAGGTAAGAGTTTGGATTGGATTGCTTTTTCTTGAACTTGGTGTTGTTGAATTCGATAACCTTTGTTCTCATCAAGTAAGAACCCTTCTGTGTGGTGGCGGGAAAATTAAAAAAAAAAAAAAAACAGAAGTAGGTCGACGGGTAGAGGAAGATCTTCGAGCGTGGCGGACATGGACATTTCGTTTGTGAGCGGCGCGAGGATGAGCAACGCGGAGAGAATCATGTTCCCTTCCTATGGCGACAGCAGCGAGTTCGGCGTGAGCGCCAGGTCCTCCACGGCTTCCCAATCCGACAGCATAAGCGTGGCGTCGTCCTACACACCGAATACGTCTATGGATTTCGGCGCGCTCAGTGAGTTCTCGGCGTCTGACATCGATAGCGTCAGGAATTCCTCTGCTTCCCAGGGCGTGGTGAGTCTGAGTTGTGATTAATGGCGTTTTCCAAAAAGTTGCGAATTCCCGAGTTTGCATTGCTTGATTCGTTAATGAAAACAGGAGGATGTAGAGTCGGAAGTGAGGAGGCTGAAGCTGGAGCTCAAGCAAACAATGGAGATGTACAACAATGCTTGCAAAGAGGCGCTTACTGCTAAATCTAAGGTGTATAAAAAAAAACAGAGTAACTTTAAATGCTTAAAATGTAATACCGGTATCTGAACTTGATTGATTTCTGTTGACAGGCAAGGGAGCTTCAGAGATGGAAGATGGAGAAGGAGCAGAAGCTAGAGACAGCAAAATCGGCGGAGGAAGCGATATTGGCCGCAATCGAAGAGGAGAAAGCCAAACGCAAGGCGGCATTGGAGGTAGCTGAATCAGCTCAGAAGCTCGCCGAGAAAGAAGCGCTGAAAAGGAAAAATTTAGAGAAAAAAACAGAGTCCCTGCCTTACGGCGACCTCTGCTGCCGCCAATACTCAATCGAAGAGATTGAAGAAGCGACCGATGATTTCTCCAGCTCCCTCAAAATCGGCGAAGGAGGCTACGGCCCAGTCTACCGCTGCAATCTCGACCACACACCGGTTGCGATCAAGGCCCTCCGGCCCGACGCGGCCCAGGGCAGGGCCCAATTCCAACAGGAAGTCGACGTTTTGTCTCGAATCCGCCACCCGAATATGGTCCTCTTGATCGGAGCTTGCTCGGAGTACGGCTGCTTGGTCTACGAGTACATGGCGAACGGCAGCTTGGAAGACAGGCTGCTCCGGCGAGGGAACACCCCTGCTCTGTCATGGCAGCTGAGGTTCAAAATCGCGGCGGAGATTGCCACGGGGTTACATTTCCTCCACCAGACCAAACCCGAGCCCTTGGTGCACCGTGATTTGAAGCCGGGGAACATTCTCATCGATCGAAACTTCGTCAGCAAGATCAGCGACGTCGGGCTGGCGAGGCTGGTCCCGCCGACGGTGGCTAACAGCATCACGCAGTACAGGATGACACAGACTGCAGGGACGTTCTGCTACATCGACCCGGAGTATCAGCAGACCGGGATGCTCGGGACGAAATCGGACATCTATTCGTTCGGAATCATCCTCTTGCAGCTGATCACGGCCAAGCCGCCGATGGGGCTGACTCACTACGTCCAGCGGGCGATTGAGAAGGGGAATTTCGCCGACATTCTCGACCCGGATGTGCCCGATTGGCCTGTGGAGGAGGCTTTGAAAGTGGCGAAATTGGGGATCCAATGCGCGGAATTGAGGCGGAAGGATCGGCCGGATCTGAAGGACGTCGTGCTGCCGGAGCTCTGCAAGTTGAGGGAGCTCGCCGATGAGAAAATGGCGGGATTGTACTTCTCTGCCCCTGCCGCCGGCGAGAGCCCGGTCGGGTCGCAATTTAAAACCAGCTTCTCGGTTCAACCAGTGAGTGAAGTGATGTCAGGATATGAGAGCTCCAGGAGTCGATACAGCACGTCGTCGTTTTCAGGTCCGCAAGGATGAGAAACGATTGTTTTTGCCACGTACGCGAGCGGGTTGACTGATTGTCAATACGAGCGAGTACGTATTTTGTCCCTATACAAATACCGTAATATACGTATATGGAAGGCAAGATGGCTGTAGGTTGCCACAAGCCATAGAAAATAGCTCTGTGAATCACAGAAATTTTTTGTGGCTTTTGTGATTGCTTTGTAGCCATGACATGAGATTGGAAAACATCTTTTTTATTAATATGAAATTGTGTTGCCATATTTATTGGATATGATACATTCTCTAAGTACTTGCAAGGTTGAGACGAATTCGAGCTCCCTTTGGTAAATCCATATTATAAGCAACCTTACCTAACATCTTCAAAATTTTGTATGGTCCAAAAAATTTCAAGCAACTAACTTCTGGTGTGACGATCGCAAATGCATATACAAATACAGTAAAAAAGTAGGTCTTATATCTCAAACTCCACATCCTTATGACCCAAACTTTCAAGTTGCTTCATCTGGTTGTTAGTCACTTCTAGATATGCCATCAACTGCTCCAAAGCTTCATTCCAACCCTACAACCGCCAATCACCTATCAACGACATCGAAAGGGCTACCACTCAATCAATATGTCACCATTGTGACAGAAAAGATTGTGCAAAGAAAGCTAGCTAGCTACTAATATTGGAAAAGACTAACATGAATTGTCTTACTCGATATGTTCATTTTTTTTAGAATCCCTAGAAAACGAACACATATAAATACTAACACACATCACTAGTTGGTGTAATGCTCCTTCTTTTACAACTTTGAATGGGATGGGATGGAATGGAATAGAAAGTGAGATAGGCAACTAACCAAGGGGGCAAAAAAAAAAAGGCATAAAGAAAAACGAAACCCCATTATAGCACAAGGAACCAAGCCACTGATTTTTGGTTGGTTAGTTGGATTTGTGTATGGATACAAGAGCTTGGCATTCCTAAAGCAAAAGGGCCAAAAATGAACACTTCTTGAGATAAAGCAACTCCTCTAACTTGCTTGCTTGCTTGGGGGTGTGTTTTTTTCACAAGGATGGAAGCCAAGCAAGCCGCTATTCCTCCCTCTCCCGACATCTCTACTTTTGATGGCCCTTTATTTAGGGTTACGTTGCCTTAGTTTAAGCCTCATCCATCCACCCAATCCACTCATTACCACCAAGCTTATGCTTGCTTCCTTAGCTGCCAAGTCACAAAATGCCGCCTTTCATTCCAATATTCCAAATCCCTGCCTGACGACGGCCAGCTTTGGGGCTTCAGCCAGCCACCGGGATTGTACCAAAGTGTACACTTAGCAGCCTCCACAATACTTTTTTTCTTTTCCTTTATAGGAAAAGAAAGGGTTTTAAACCAAACTCCAAATCTATCACATAACAGCCAGCATTTGGACCCCAACTGCATTTTGGTTTCTAGCAGTTTTGTTGAAAACCCAGTTGTGCAGATGGTTTAACTGATCAGATTGCGAATCACACGGTCTTAATCAAGCGGATATAACAATCTAGTTGATTACTTGATTCGTCGAAATTTATCTGGCGTAGTGACACATTGGTTTTTGGCATTGCGGCCTGTTAGGTAAAGAGAGATGATGACACCTATTTAGTATGGTAAGCATCCACTGGCTAAAAGTCCCAGTCTCCAATCTTGCCCTTTTTTCCTGGGTTTGATTTCCCCTTTTGCTTTATTTGGGATTTTGGAACCTAGACTGGGGGGATGACAGGGACTTGTTCTCCAACTTTGGATTGGTAAAGAAAGAGCATTGAAGCCAATTCGGTAATGATAGGGAAATGTGGGGAAACTGAGATGTGAGAAGAACAACAAAAAGAGATGCTTGTCTTCCCAAGGAAATTGTTCCAACTCTTACCTTTTTTGTTCAAACCTGTCAGGATGAGTCTTCCTTCCTAAACAAAAACATATTGTTAGTTATTCCAATGGGGACATGCTCATGATTGCAAGTGAATCTAATGGCCTTCCCCACATGTTTCCTGGGGCCACAACCCTTGTGGCTTTATGGATCCACTTTGAGAAAAGCTATAACTCAAGCTTATTCCTGCACTATATATAAACAGATCAGCAGCAGAGTTGCATTAGAATAGCAGCAGCCAATTCTCAGTTCTCAGCCTAAACTACTCCTCCATTCTGTTCTTTTATCAACATCCTCATAATCATTGCTTCATGGGTATATTGGGGCACAGAGTGATTCTTCTTCTGTTGTGCATTGGGAATTTAGCTCTTCAGCCTGAGACGGCGTATGGCCTGACAAGCATTGATCTTGCTCTGAGATGGCGGCATCCTGGGCACCAAAATTCGCGCTTCCTGAAGGGAGTGGCTGTAGATGAGTTGCAGGGCACATCGTCGAGCTTGGCGCCTGGACCTTCAGTGATGTTTGATCCTAATCAGTCCAACAAAAGAACGGTTAAGAAAGGATCAGATCCCATTCACAACAGGCAGTAGCCTGGTTTTCTGAACCAGGGAAGAGCACCAAATACTCTTTTCTTTGTTCTTTCTCATTTCTCCTCCTCAATGCCAGCAAGGAAGTGACGTGACGGCTTGAAGCTGCAGCTGATGCAAAAAAGAAAAAATACAAAAACAAGATGAACACACTGCAAGTTACAGGCACCTCGTGATTCCTCAAAGTTGAAGCCTCGAACATGGTTTTCTGGATTTTGATATATTCTTCATTTGTTTTAGAGGCAGCATTTTGTTAAGAGAGAGTTGCAGCAGCCTAGGCTAGACCCATATCTCTAAGCCAGCATCATCTCTGTACTGTATAGAATGAATCAGGTCTTAATCAACTTGTTGCCCCCACCCCCATACATTTAAAATGTAGGTGATGCTGGCTCTCATACACAATCAATAGATAGTGCTTTCTTTTTATTTTGTTTTTTCCTTGTTTGTACTTCACCCTTGTTTAATCCACAAAGCATGAAAGCACAGTTTTACAGGCAACCTGTATGTTATTCTAGTTTGCAGAAGTTTCACGCCATGCTCCATAAAAATTCCCAGACTACAATGAGTACAGTTTCAACAACCAGGACAGCCAAAGGTAAAAAAGTGATCGACAATCTTGACACGATACTAATAAGGAATATAGATTCATCCACATGCATAATGAATGGAAATTAACGTCTCAAAGTAGGAACATAAATACATGCCTCGCTGCTAAAGATCTTGTCTAGCAGCACATAGGTATTGTTATCAAGTTCAATCACTAACTCCTGGGTTTCTTTTATCTTCTCTGAATCATAGTCGAAAGTTCTGCTCTTAAAAGGAAATGTTGATGTAAATAAACCCAGAAACTCTCAGTGTATCAACCAATCCTTTCATAGAAACCCGTTCTTTTCATATTATTATTAATGATTAATGTGAATTGTAAGGTGAGTACAACCATGTAAGGCCGAGTAGGACTATTATTAGGTTTTTCAGGGATTTCATATAAATATGTAATGGGTATTGATGCAGATTAATCAAAGAAGTTAATAGAAAAGTATCCCAAAACCTCAATCTCTACAATCCTCTAAATCTGTCTCTCTTCTTCCTATCTAGGCCGCGGCACCTTCTCTCTCAATTATGTCCAATTCTCCTCTTCAATCTCTAATCCCCATCTTTTTTCTTCTCCAAATCCAGTTCTCAATTCCTAAATCCCTATTCTAAATCCAATTCCCAATTTCATAACCCCACACAATAATGCCCTAGATCACGGGGTTTCTATCATCCTGCAACCTTTGTTGTCAATGATGATTGCAGTCCTCCGCCTAAAATGGCCCCCATTACCACATTACGACCTCCCTCAACTTCCATAGATTCTCGTGAATTGTCACAGCAAAAATTGGAGCAATTTCCCATGGTTACCGAGCTAGATTTTTCTTCACATTTGGAAGAAAAAAAATCCTGCCACGACAGGAAGGGGAGAACAACGATACTCAATGAATGATCTAAATCACTAGGACAACAAAACCTTGTATAAATTATAAGTATGATTAGAAGAAACAAAAAGATCGAGAAAACTTACAAAATAAATACCGTTTTACACACAAGGTAACAAATTGAAGTTTTTGAATCATGTCTACCTGCTGACAGTTGTGCTCAGTGAGCTTGTTGTTTGAGCCCTGGAGTATCTATTCTTCCTGTTAAATTGCAGACGAAGCGCAGGCACCTTTCTCGATACAGCCTTCCAGACCATATCCACAGCATCATCAGGCCATGAAGGGTAGTGGTATTCAAAGTGGGGGGCAATTTCTTGTAACCTAACCCACATCTTGGTCCACTCATCTCCCTCAATCCCACGGAGAAGATTAAGTAAGTACCCCGGTTTGACAGCATCAGATGCATGAACAAACACACAGAACTCTGAGTAGTCAAGCACATCTTCAAATGGCAGCTCTATCTCGTCACTTATTATCACAGGAACACAACGAGTGGCAATCACATCAAACAGGCGATTGGAAGCAGGTGTATCCCCAGCAATATGTAGGCAGAATTTTGATATCGCCATCCCTGCATTTGCCTTGTTGATGCCAACCTTCCCGTAGGATCCAAATGTAAAGTGCACATCTTCCTCATCTTTTAGAAGGTTATACAGTTCCTGGCGAATAGCTCCTCCCTTAAGGAGAAGGCAAGCAGGGTAAACATCAATGTGCTTAAAGTATAGAAGATGATACTTTGGGCATGTGTGTGTGTGAAGTTCTCAATCTACACTGAAACTGAACCCTCCCTCCCCCTCAAATTGTACACTTAAGCATACTTACCGGACCCTTCGTAAAAGGACAAAGATGGTGAATGCATACTTAAGCACACAACAAAGTCTAGAACTATTTGTAGCAAAAATAAACGGAAAAAGAATAACAATGGAAGAGAAGGATGGATATTGAGGTTGTCCACTAAACTCAACCACCACTCTCTTAGAGAATATCAGTTACTATTAAAAAAATGTAGAGAATATCAGAACAATGGAAGAATATCAAGGGTATTCTCATTCCAAATAAAGCAAAGTTAGACATCCCAAACATAGCAAGAGTATATCAGGACCAAATAGAAGCCAACCTGGCTTACTAACGAGTTCATTTATCGACATTCTAACAATTCTTTGGCCAGAAATTAGCTAATCTGTCGAATTTCTAAATGCAACAGCAGCAGTTACCTCTATAGTTGCTGGAAGACCATAGTAATTAGGGGATATTAATAGTATAGAAGGAAAGACTGCAGATACTTACATCCTTTCTGTAGATAGTCCCTTTGAAATAAGCTAGTATAGAACGCTGATCAAACTGAGCTGACTGACCATTTGGAATGCTCCTAACAACATGTTTGTAAGGAGCTATTATATCCTTTTCAACGTTTGCAACTTTAGCCCGATACCTCCCGAAATCTGCAAGCACAAACATGGCAGAGGCCAACTTTTTCCTAGAGTATGCCATGCTATTTGGATGGTGCGCCACAATCAAATGATCCTTTCCTCCATGCTGCTTCCATAGATCCTGGCCCAACAAATACTGCACCAATTTCTCCTGCAGAATTTGGTCGAGTGCAAGTTTCGCTTTTCCCAAAGGCCTGGGATACAGATTGTAACTGAGAGATGAGAAAAACGGCACAAAGATTATGTCTGCATCACTAGAGTTCTCCACCCTAACTGCACTGCAAGCTCTGACAACACTTGGCACATTAGAGGCTAGAAGATCAAGTGTCAACCAATACTCCATACCATGCTGCAAGAACAGGCCACCAAGATAAGGCGGGATGTGCCTAGGGTCATTAACACTAGGCCATATTTCATTGCCATTTCCCTTCCATTCCAGCATTCCAAAGTGAAATTCAGGAGGCAAATCATACATATATACCTTCAGAACAGCTTGGTTTTCGTCACAAGTCAAGGCCCCAGAAGGCGGACAGATAGTTCCTTCACTGCTAGGGCCAAAATTAGGGAATTGTGTCTGTGAGGTCAGAGGAGGTAGCACCGAGAACTCACTAAACTGGTGAATGGGTAGAGAAGAAAATATCAAAAGGAACAAAGAGAGAGTGATTAGGTAGAAGGGAATCATGGATAGAAGAAGCTTATATTTCTCAGGCATGAATGGAAAAGCTTGAAGGAAGACCTCCTGACTCCTGAATTATGGAACTCACAGCATGACTCCAGGGTTTTCTGTATCAAATACAAAGAGAAAGGATCAAAGCTTAGAATCCTAAAGGATGATCAAGGTCAGAACAACTTGATCTTTGAAGGAAACAACCCAAAATCCTAAACTTTAATATCAATGCATAAAGTTGCATTCGGGTCAGGAAATTAAAACCCAGTCTCGATCATGCAAACCTAAAAAAAGAAACATGGAATTTCTCTCTTACAGAAGGAACCAGGAGTCCACTTTACAACCCATAAGCTCAATCTGCGGAACAGAAAGAAAAAGACATTGAAAGAAATAAAATCAGTGACCGTACGTCTATTTGTTGTTAAATGTCAATTGAATTCTGTCTTTCTCACTGGAAGGATCATTCTATAGCTCTAATTCGAAAGGGGAAACATTAATAACAAGGAACAGACAACATTGATCATCCAGCTGAGCCAGAGAATGAGAATTTCATCGCCTGGGCATTGTGAGATGCAGCATTGTTCGAGGTGGGTTGAAGAAAAACGAGGGAAAAATTGCACCTTGAGCGGGAGGAGTTTGGAGAACTCTACTGCGAGTAGGGAATTTCGCCTCTGTCTGAGCTGAGCAAGTTTGAGTATATTTGCCGCGATGTACACCAGCAAAGGGGCACTCACTGAACGGTGGTGAGTAATCGCCAGTTTCGCTGGCTAGCCAGAGATAATGAGCATCGATCGGAGAGAACCGGTCGCCGGGTGCCATGCCGACGACGATTTTCTATCTCGAAGAGAACAAATGCTTCCAAGTCCAACTAATGAGCCCTTTGAGTCTCCTTGACCTTGACACTCTGTTTGGGAAGAGGGGTAAATGGGAGGAGGGTGCAAATGGGAGGAGGGTGCAAATGCAGTTTCCAACACATTTGCATCTGTTTGGTTAATTTGGAACAGTAGGGGGGTGCAAAACGGGAGTGCAAATTTACTGTTTCGGCTTACCCCCCAAATTGGGGTGCAAGGGAAGGAAGGAAGAGAGGGGGAGGGGGGAATTATGGAATTTTGTTTTTCTAATTGTGTTATATATAATTATATAATAATTAATATTATCAATTTCTTTTTTTTATAAATATCATTAATGTAAACATTATTCGGGGTTGACCATTTGACTCTAGAAACAAGTTTATTCGTCAAGTCAAATCTAGATCTCTTGGTTGAATCGAATTTGCATTGAAAATTAGAGATACGAGGTGTTTGTGGAAAAGATAGAGAGAAATTGTTTGGTTAACTCAGTTTATTTGACTAAATAGTTAAAACTTACAAATTCGAACGTGTTTGACTAAGTTTGACAATTTAAGATTAAACTAGACACGAAAACCCTATATAGGATGACCAGTTACAAGTTGAGCTTCGAGTTTTGAGATCGCTCGATCAATGATTATACAATTGTCATAATTAATTATTATTTGAGCATTATTATATAATAACTATTTTTAGTAAAGTATATTTATTATTATATAGTAATATTTATTTTATTATTTTATGATAATATTTTAAAATTTTAAAATCTATTTTGTAATCTTAAAATCTATTTTTAAAATCTATTTTAAAATAATATAATTACTTACTTTTCACTCTATTTGCACCCCCTACTTTTTCATCCAAACAACAATTTACCCCTCCACTTACACCCCCCAGCAATTTGCACCCCCCAGCAATTTACCCCTCAACTTGCACCCTCCTGCAATTTGCACCCCCCTTGTTGCCAAACAGAGCGTGAGAGTTGAGATGACTCAAAGAAGAAAACCGCTGCAAACCAACATGGTTACAAATTATGGCAAAAGAAATATTTATTAATTATTTTTTTGGAAAATTACAAAAATCCTATTAATTACACTAGTTTTGATCCCGACCAGTTAGTTAGAATATTTTTTGGTTTATTATTTAATAAATTACATTATTAGTAGCCATTTATATAATAAAAATTACACTAGTTTTGATCACACCTGTTAGTTAGAATATTTTAGGTTTATTATTTAATTAATTACATCATTAGTAGCCATCCATATAGTGAAAGTTGTTATATTTACAAAAAAAAAAAATTACATCATATTTAGTTTTTTATCAGTGATTTTCAATTGAAATTTATTTTATCAATAGTAGTTATCTACATAATGAAAGTTGTTTAAGTTTTCATGAGAAGTATTTTATCAAACCCATTATTAATAATTCTTTTTTTTTTACGTACTCGATCAAGATTTTTCTATCATTCTTCATTTATGGATTCTCCACTCTTACTTAATATGGTATCGTTCCAGCTGAGTATAGGTAAAAAAAAATGAAACCACAAACGTATTGTCGCTAAATTGGGTAATCATTTTTGTAACCAAAGTTAAAAGAAGTCTCAATTGCACACGTAATAAGAAAATAATATGCTTCCAATGATGAATAGAAAGGCTGAGCACTTACAGGGAGCTTGCTCAATTAAAAGTATCTGGTCATCCCTGGATTGTTGGAGGGGATTTCAACACTGTTCGGGTCCCACAGGAGACCTCTATTCAGAGGTCCTCTAACCAGAGTATTAGTGACTTTAATCAATGGATTGGGGAGATGGAGTTGATGGATTTTAAAACTATAGGGCCACAATTCACATGGACCAACAGACAGGCTAATCAACCTATTGCTAGGTAGTTGGATAGAGGGCTGGTTAATCTTGAGTGGATTGAGCATTTTGAGAATTGCACTATGGAGGCTATCCCTTCGCAATTTTCAGATCACTGTGGTATTCAAGTCTATACTGTTGCCCCGATTAAATCACTGCCTAAACCTTTCCGATACTTTGAATTCTGGGCGGACCATCCGAGTTTCTTGGATATTGTGGCTGAGGCTTGGAGTGGAGAGGTGTTGGGGAACCCTTTGCAGGTCATTCAGGGAAAGTTGTCTAGAGTAAAACAGGCACTCAAAAAGTTTAATAGAGACATTTATGGTAACTTGCAAGACAAGGTTAAGGAAGCTGAGGTTGAGTTGACTAGGGCACAGGTCAAGGCTTTTTCAGTTCCCTCCTCTGAAAATTTTGAGGCTGTTACACTGGCCAAGGATCAGTATGATCATATAGCTAAGGCATATGAAAGCTTTGTCTGGCAAAAATCCAGGGTATCTTGGTTATCTGTGGGGGATCAGAGTTCTCATTTCTTTCATCAGGCAGTAAAGATCCATAACTCAAAGAGGGCTATTAGGAAATTGGTTAAAGAATCAGGTGAGGAAATGTTACAGTCTGAGCAAATTATTGATGAAGTAGTCTGTTTCTATAAAAAGCTGCTGGGGGAAGCAAATTTGGAAATTATGCCTGAGAGGGAAGAAATATCTCATCTTGTTCGTCACCACATCCCAGTTCCTGAATGTGAGAATCTTATCAAGGAGGTCACAGCAGAAGAGGTGAGGCAGGTGGTGTTTAACCTGAACACACAGAAGGCTCCAGGCCCATATGGTTTCTCTGTGGGGTTCTACAAGAGAGCTTGGCCAATCATTGGTGATGATGTGACAAGGGGAGTTCTCTATTTCTTCCAAACAGGTAATCTCCCTAGTGGTATTAATGCTACTGCTATTTCCTTAGTCCCTAAGGTTCTGAATGCTGACACCCTGAAGAACTTTAGGCCTATCTCGTGTGTAAACCTTTTATACAAGATAATTGCTAAGATTCTTGCTAGGAGAATTAGTGAGGTTATGCCCCTGATCATCAGCACTAACCAATCAGCTTTTGTTAAGGGGAGAAGCATCATGGACAACATATTGATGGCTCAGGAGTTAGTTAGTGGTTACAACAGAAGTGCTCTATCCTCTAGATGTGCAATTAAAATAGATATTATGAAAGCTTTTGACTCTGTTAGTTGGAGCTATCTGTTTCATATGATGGTTGAAATGGGATTTCCTGTTCAGTTCATGAAGTGGATTAGGGCTTGCCTACAAACTGCTCACTATAGTATCAATATAAATGGAGGGCTCTGTGGGTTCTTTAGGGCTAGGAAGGGAGTCAGACAAGGTGATCCATTATCACCTTATTTGTTCACCATTGCTATGGAAGGTCTCTCTTCCATGTTAATAGCTGCCAGCCAATCAGGGAGGATCCCTTACCACCCTCAATGTCGAAGAATTGGATTAAATCACATGTGTTTTGCTGATGATGTCCTTGTATTCACCACTGGTTCAACTCAAGCACTTCTTCAGGTCAAAGATGTATTACATCAGTTCTATAAGTTGTCAGGGCTTAATTGCAACCCTGCTAAGTGTGAAGTTTACTTTGGTGGGGAATCTGTTAAATATAAAGGCAATGCTCTGTTTCAGTCTGGCTTCAAGGAGGGCCTGCTGCCTGTTAGATACTTGGGGCTTCCATTGATGACTGGGAAACTGTCTTCAAAAGAGGTGGATATACTGGTTGACAAGCTCACAAAAAGAATTAAAACATGGAGGGCAAGGAAACTGACTCATGCAGGAAGATTGCAGCTTGTGACTTCAGTATTGATGGGGGTTATCCAGTACTGGATGGAGTTGTTTGTACTCCCTAAAGTGGCTCTGAAGAGGATCCAGCAGGTCTGCTCTCACTTACTCTGGCATGGGGCTGATACTGGAAAAGCCAAAGTGGCATGGGAACATGTGGCTTTGCCAAAGAAGGAAGGGGGGTTAGGTATCAAAGATTTGCTAGCGTGGAATCAAGCATGTACTATTCGGATGTTGTGGTTATTTTTAATGAAGGCATGTACTCTATGGGTTGCATGGATGCTTGAATATAAATGCAGACAGGGAGACCTTTGGAGTTTGAAGGTACAATACAGTAGCTCTTGGACTTGGAGAAGGTTGCTTAAACTAAGAGGCGTCATATTACCATGGATTCTCAGGAAATGCATGTTTACTCGGTTCGTAGAGTCTGGGAAACACTACGAAGGAAAGCACCTGCTGTTCCATGGAACAAGCTCGTTTGGGGAAAGTGTTGCCCCCCCAAGATATAGTCTACTTGCCTGGTTGATTATGAGGAATGCCATAGTCACCAGGGATAAACTATTGAAATGGGGTAAAATAACCAATGCAACCTGTCCTTTATGTGAGGGGGAGGTTGAAAGCAGAGACCATTTATTTCTTAGCTGCAATTTCTCTATGAGGCTTGCTGCACAGCTACACTTCAGGTTCCTACACTATCAGACTTGGGATGTAATGGTGCAGGAATTGAGTGCAGGGATTTGCAGAGATACTCGTGATGGGTGCTGGCATGCTTTGATATGGTGTTTTGTTGTTGCTTTCATTTGGAAGGAAAGATGCAGAGTGGTGCATGGCTCGACCAGACAAGATCCAGCGAGGGTAGCCGATCAGCTTAGGGAAGATTTGCAGTTCATAGCATGTGGAAATCGAGGACTGAGAGATGCACTTACAAAGCTTCATTACTTATAGTTTTTGCTTTCACAGTTTCTGTAAGTAGTGTTGTATAGGCGATAGTTGAGGACAACACCTGGGGATATTTTTATATATGCCCCACTTCGTTGTATTGGCTTTTCTTGGGAATAAAGGAACCAATACAGTCAAAATCGCGCTTTAAAACTTAAAAGCTTACGTTTTTACCATTTTGGGTCACCAAAACGCTTCTACGTAGAATCGTGATTTTCCTTTACAAATGTATTCAAAATCTACGTTTTAAAACTCAAAAGCTTACGGTTTTACGCTTCTAGGTCACCCAACCGCTTCTAGGTAGAATCGCGCTTTTGACTGCATTGAAAGGAACCGATTCAACAAAAAAAAATAATATCAAGTTTCTCTTAATCGTTACAAAACCGTTGGTGAACCGTTGATAGAACCGTTCATGATATATTACATATAAGACTTTTATATTACACTAATTAAAAAATCAAGCTATCATTGACATTTGACCATAAACAATTTTAAATTCATATCATCACCAAAATATCTAATAAATCGTTGAAACCATCTCACAAAAGAAACCATATTTTTTAGTTCAAATTAAAAATTACGGTTTCAGTTGGTAGTAGCAAAAGTAAAGTCGACAACAAGATTGGAATGAGAAGAAGAAGCATATATAAACTTAATAAATAGGATTTGATGGTCTTAGTATATTTTAAAGCGTTTTGTAAATTTTTTTGGTTAAAATAGTGAACTAGTGGACCAGTTAAGCCGTGTTGGTTCATCTGATTTTATGTTGAACCGTAAAAAACCGTTTGGCTCATCAATAACCGTCCAAACAATGAACCGGACCGCTATCGTAACTGGTTTAATGGTTCTACTGTCCCGATCATTAATTTGGTTCGGTTCTACATGACTCTACTTCATGTGCATAATTTCTCTTTACTTTTAAATTCTTCATAATTTGAAGTTTTGCTAGCTAAGATAACAATCGCATCAAGTCATGGAGAGCTAAAAAGCTCACATACGCGGACAAATTACAACTTGTTACTTCTGCAACAATGGGAGCAATAATACAGTACTGTTTGCATGTTTTTAGTCTATCAAAGAAGGTTCTGAAACAAATATAGAAAGTCTGTGTTGATTTCTTATGGCTTGGTGGAGAGTTGGATAGAGCAAAAGTGGTCTGGGAAAGAGTTGCTAACCTAAAAAGGAAGGGGGAGTTGGGTTTAGAGCTTGTTAGCTTCGCGGATGCTTTGGCTATAATGTCAACAGTTGTCAAATGGGGCTACCCAGAGCTCCAGAAGATAGTTCCAACTGTAATTATCATCCCATTGATCATTAGTCCTTTGGTGTCGGTTAAGGCGTTAGTGGTTGAACTCCTCCACCTAACTTTCATTTGGAAATAATAAAGACCAAAGGGGAAAGAAAACCATGCTCAATGAATGATCAAAATCACTTGGTGAACAAGAGCGCTGTGTATAACAACTGTTCATGACCAAAACAACATGTTTTCTGGATCTACATCTATGTATGATAACCCAAAACAAACAGCTCCTGGCAAGACTGCAAACATCAGATGCCCTTTACATGAGAGAACAAAAATGAGGGATAACTTTTGGTATCATGTCTACCTGCAAACTGTGTGTTCACTTCAGTTAGCTGGTTGGTTGAGACCGATAGTATCTCTTCTTCCTGTTAAGCTCCAACCGAACTGCAGACACCTTTCGCCTTACTGCCTTCCATATCATATCCACAGCATCATCAGGCTTGGAAGGGTAATTGTACTCAAAGTGGGGGGCGATTTCTTGTAATCTAACCCACATCTTGGTCCACTCATCTCGGTCAATCCCACGGAGAAGCTTCAGTAAGTAACCTGGTTTGATAGCATCAGATGCATGGACAAAGACACAGAAGTCTGAGTAGTCCAGCACGTCTTCGAATGGAAGTTCAATCTCGTCGCTTATTATCACAGGAACACAGTGAGTTGCAACAATGTCAAAGAGACGATTAGAGGAAGGGGTATCACCGGCAATATGCAAGCAGAACTTTGATGAGGCCATCCCTGCATTGGCCTTGTTGACCCCATTCTTGCCGTAGGACCCAAATGTAAAGTGAACATCTTTCTCATCTTTTAGCAGATAGTAGAGTTCCTGGCGAATAGTTCCTCCCTTAAGAAGGAAAGTAGAGTGCATATTAGTATACTATTGCTTTAAGTAGAGTAATTTAATTCATTGAACTGTTTTAGTCCTAACCCTTCTATCAAACTACAGTTTAGAGAAAAATGTATGTGCGTGTGACTGCCTGTTATAAAGATTAGAAGTTCTCAAACCAATGAACCGTACCCTCTCCCCCTCAACTCCTACCCAAAAGGAAAGAGATACTTAATAATATGTACTTTAGCGCACAACCAAATATGGACTTCATAAATGTGCTTTATTGGTGTAAGAAGAAAACAGTTTGTACATACAGATTATAATATGGACAACAGGGCTGATACTAGTGTATTTTTTTCATAATGCATACTGCCATGAAAATTGCACGAATTATGTCTACTATCAAGTCTCCAGACAATAATGCGTGCAACAAAGAAGAAAATTGGTCGAAAGGATTGAAAAAGATCACGCTAGTGCCTATGTATCACTACCAGGGTCAGATTACTATATTATCAGACCATAGAGAACAGCAGCACCAAACATAAGTGAATCTGGCTTGCTAGTGAGGTTCTTTAATCGCCCACTCCAACCCTTGGATAGAAACTACCTTAATCTATGGATATGGAATATTAAGTTTAAACAAACAGCAGTTACCTCTAGAGTTAGTAGAAGACCATAGTAATCAAGGCATATTAATAGTGTAGAAGGAAAGACTGAAGATACTTACATCCTTTCTGTAAATAGCCCCTTTGAAATAAGCTAGTATAGAACGCTGATCAAACTTTGCTGACTGATCATTTGGAATGCTCCTAACAACATGCTTGTAGGGAGCTATTATATCCTTCTCAATGTTTGCAACTTTAGCCGGATACCTCCCGAAATCAGCAAGCACAAACATGGCAGAGGCCAACTTTTTCCTAGAGTGCAGCATGCTATTTGGATGATGCGCCACAATCAAATGATCCTTTCCCCCATGTCGCTTCCATAGATCCTGGCCCAACAAATACTGTACCAATTTCTCCTGTAGAATTCTGTTGAGTACAAGTTTCTCTTTTCCCAAAGGCTTGGAATACCGATTGTAACTGAGAGATGAGAAAAACGGCACAAAGAATATGTCTGCTTCACTAGAATTCTCTACCCTAACTGCACTGCAAGCTTTGACAACACTTGGTGCATTAGATGCCAGAAGATCAAGTGTCAGCCAAAACTCCATACTATGCTGCAAAGTCAAGCCACCAGGATAAGGAGGGATGTGCCTAGGGTCATTAACAGTAGGCCATGTTTCATTGCCATTTCCCTTCCAACCCAGTAATCCGAAGTGAAATTCAGGAGGCAGATCATACATATATACCTTCAGAACAGCTCGGTTTTTCTCACAACTCAAGGACCGAGAAGGCGGACAGATTGCTCCTTCACTGCTAGGGCCAGAGTTAGGGGATTGTGTCTTTGAGCTCAGGGGAGATAGGAAGGGGATCGTTTTGATCTTTGAGTCCCTTTGGACATTGGGTCTCACATTAATTGAGGTGTCATTGGCAAGAATCAACCTGAAAACAGAACCAGGAAGCAACGAGACATCGCCAAACTGTCGAAGGGATAGTGAAGAGAGAATCAAAAGGAACAAAGAAAGAGTGATTAGGTAGAACAGAAGCCTGGATGGAGGCTTAGCTTTCTCAGACATGGATGGAAATTTGTGAACTGAATTCGGAACGCACAGAGAAAAAATCTCAGCTGTATATTCCTAAAGGAAGATGATCAACGTCAGAAAAGGGCTGAGCTTTGAAGGAAACACAACCCAAATGTCTAAATGTTTTAGTTCTCTTCAATATCAGTATGCATAAATTCCAGAGGCAAACCAATAAGTATTGCATTCCCGTCTAGAACTCAACACCCTAGTCCCTTGTCATATAAACCCTAAAGGAAAGACGCGATTCTCCAACGGATTGGCATCATATCCAACTTCACGCTCTCTTTCGACAGTAGTAAACCAACCAACCACCTCAAAATTGCCAAAGCTACCACCTGGAAAATGACATCTCGCCTGCCTTTCAAACGAGAATATCACCTCAACTTCTTGCACATTAAAGAGACATCATTCTCACAAAAGCAACGTGAAGTACGCTTCTCCAACGCGTACACTCAATCTGTGAAACAGGCAAAACCAACAAATGACAGAAAAAGGTCACTGAGAGTCTGAGACTGATATAACGTCGAGTTTCTGTTTGTTTAAGGCCATCTGCATTCAGTCTATTCTACAGCACTAATTCAGAGGGAGAAGGAGGAAGACGGAGACGATAATATCAAGAAAAGGACGGCAGAATCACAAGGGAAAGTAATGAACAGACGGCGACATGGATCGTCCAGCTCTGAGCTAGAGATTGAGAATTTTATCATCTGGGCATTGAAAAATGCAGCATTGTGCGAGGTGGGTCGAAGAGAAAAAAGAGGACAAGATTGTTACCTGAGATGAGAGAGAGGAGTTTGGAGAACTCCATGAGAGTTGAGTTGGGAATTTCGCCTTTTTGCCAGAGTCAGTGGCAGGCACCTCTGAGGTGAGCAAGCAAGTAAAAACAACACACAAAAGTCCCCTTTGAGTTTCCTTGGGGGTCGAGATTACACACACAGACATTTTCCCGCAATTCTTTATCTCCTTTTTCCCATTTTATACTTTACTTCAAATTAAATTAAATTAATAAATTAAGTTAAACGAGATTTTACATTCAACATGTTTAAATTTATACTGTCCTTGGATATAAATTCAAGTCAGTTCCAATTTCATATATTAACCACATTTCTTCCAACTTAGTAATTGCACGTTGGTGGATTTCTTTCCAAAATGCATAAGTTACAAAAGGAAATTCTAGCCATACAACTTTTGCATTGGTTAGTAAAAATATAAGCAAATATCAAGAAGAAGAATAAATATATAGAATATAATAATAAATATTTAAAATCAATATTAGAAGATCTATTTAAATCACTAATCCGATAAGAAGTGCCATTAAAAATAGTTAAAATGGAATCTAATCGATCATCAATACATCAAGACCAAAGAAAGATAAATGGAACATAGTCAGAAAGAATTAAACATATTACAGTAATTGAAGAAAATTTAGAACGAAAATAGAACGAAAGTAACCAAGAAAATTATACAACATCCAGATGATGTACGTGAATTAAATATAACATCCTCATATTATTTATCGATATAGAATTCATAGGATATATTTGCTTAAGCAAATTATTTAATTATTATAACACATAATGGTAATTTAAAGTACTTATAATGATAATTGATTATACATTTCCTATTCAAAAATTAGTTTGGTATCAAAATCTTCAAAAAAAAAGAATAATTCAATTATTAGAAACATAATGATAATATTTCTCAAAATACTAAAGTTTGGAACGATTTGTTTGATTCTAGTGCGAACTAACTTGTGATTCGTGCTAGATATAAGCAAGATATGTTTTTTTTTTAAACAAGCGAACAAAAACTAGTTCGCCTAAAATAAAAGGGATCTATTTAGTTTGCACGGGAGCAACACGATTGGTGTGGACTGGATAACAAGGATCTCCACTGGAGTGCATGATCTAGAAGTTATTCGCGACCTGATCGTTGATTGGCTCGCTTCTAGCGACAGAAATTGCTGGTGAGAAGAGCGGACAATCATCGATAGAGGGAAAGATCCTTATCTCGCATGGTTTGCTCCACTGCGTCGTGAACTATTTCCTAAAAAAAATATAAATACCAAATCACTTGCACGATCACTCACACGAGTCACACCACTCCACACTTCTCTCTTTCTCTTTCTTCCACCACTGAAGGAAGATCCTAGTATGCTCTGTGATTGCGGTTAAACTCAATTGTCACATAAAAAATTTCTTGAGTTGGTTACCTTCCCGTCCCCCCCCCCCCCCCCCCCTCAAACTCACAGCGAATCTTTGTCCAACTTCTGCCAAAAAACTCTAGAAGAAGCTCTAAGGGTATTGTTGGGCCAATCATTAACACATATGGGCCTCCAGGCCCATGATCACTAAAAAGCTCATAAAGCAGATAAACCCGGTCCAAACAAGCCTGGGACGCACGAAAGAACAGTCCGGAGGCGGTCTTTGTAGTCGAACCAGAGGACGCCCGACACGTTCTCAACGGGATCCTGGAAGGTCGCCCGATATTAAGGCCCAACGGCCCGTTGACAAACCCAGTACGAGACTGACAAAGGTACAATCCTGACTATGCATTTAATAAGATATGAGGCGTCCTTGGACGCCGGCAGAGCATTAAATGCCTTCACTCGAGCCTTCGCTAGTATAAATACTCATCAAAGGGTCACGTTTATGGTAACTTCAACATACTCCATTCTCTCTCTTATTTACAACTCATTCACATCTCTCTCTAACTTTGGCATCGGAGTAGGTTCCAGGATTCCCCTGAGGACCTTTCTTGCAGGGTTTCAAAGACCGCCATTGACCGTCGAAAGCCACACGAGGCCAGTGACGTCTCACAAAACCGTCTGGTACAATCCAGGTACAAACATTTTGGCGCCCACCGTGGGGCCTCACGACTTCGTTGCAGAAAAGTTGAGAGACGATTTCGAGACACCTCTCAAAGGGATGACCGAGAACAACATCCTCCGAGGCCTATCGCCGAGAGTCGAAGACGAAGTTGAGCTCGAGGAGGTGGTCAAAAGTCAGGGCTTGCAAATCGCGAGCATGCAAGACAGCCTCTCACAAATCCTTCGGCTCTTGAAGATCAAGGAAGACCCCGCTGAGGGTTCAAGGGGAAGTACGCGCGAGGAGAAGCAGAAGGTCGTTCACGTCCTTGACATCCCTGCTCAGACAGAAGGCCGGGGACCGGAGGCGGAAGACGTGGACCTCAGCTTCCTCGAGGAACACCTGCTGTCCACCTACAGGAAGCACAAAAGCCCGAACGTTCTTCAAAATCCTCTATCAAGAGAACTATTAAACCCCGGTCCCGCCTAACTTCTCCTCCCTAGGACTACCCATGTACAACGGGACTTCAGATCCCGCGGACCATCTTTGTGTCTTCATGCTAAAGATGCAACTCATCCATTCATCGGACTCAGACTTATGTCGGGCGGTCCCCGTCAACTTCAGTGGTCAGTGCCAAACATGGTACACCTTCCTCCCAGAAGGGCTAATCGAGAATTTCGGGCAATTTGCGATGCTCTTCTACATGAAATTTGCATCCCAACAACGTCGCAAACTCACCGTCTCAGCACTCATAAATTGCAGACAAAGGAAGGAGGAATCGCTCGCGGAGTTCTACGACCGATAGAACGCGATCGCGTGCGAAATACGAGGCATCTTCTCGGTCACAGCCACCGACAACCTCCAAATATCCACAACTAGCATCGAGCTCAAGAGAACCTTGAAAAAAAAGGAAGTCACGCTGACGTCATGGTCCTATTTGGATCAGTTGGTGCGAAGGACAATCTTTCTCAAGGAAGCATTGGCTACCGATGATCGGAGCCAGCAAGGACACCCTCGGATCGATCCTCAAGAGCGTGGAGACGCTCGACGCGGGAGGCGCTCCCTAGAGCAAAAGTCGTATAGCAACAGATAAATGGAGCGCGACGTCAAAAGGGAAGTATTTTCCGTTGACCAGGAACAAGAAAGAGAAAGGCGCAGGGGCGGGAGGAAGCACGAGACATCCTCCAGCCAAGAACCGTAAGACAAAAAGAAGTGGTGCGACTGGCACCAAATCACTACCCATGACACCACAGAGTGGAGGGAGTTCAAAGCCAGCCTCTGATATTTGGCGTCGATAGACTTACGAAGCCGCCTTGAGACACGGCGTCCGCATCGGGACCATTCCTAGGAAATGCGTGAGGGCTCCCGTAGTCCCGAAGTAGACAAAACAAGGAGGTAGAGGAAGGAGAGATCAAGATCCCCTTCCAGAAACAAAGCTATTTCTCCACAGAAGTAGTCTCCCGCCTACAGTACAAACCCCAACACAACGACGACGGAATGGAGATCATAACCATTGTGGGAGGCAGAAAGCGCCCGAGATCGGAGGGAGACCGCATAGGCCATTTTCTCAGCGTCCAACGCAGAGTGCCAACCGACGTCACCTTCTTGCCGTCCGAATTGGCCAAGGAAGAAAATACAGAAGACCCCTAGGTTATCTCATTCAGAACCGTCAAATTCAAGGTCACCCGGGCCCTCATAGATAACGGGAGTTCCGTATACATTCTCTTCTACTCAGCGCTCAAAGGCATGAAGAAGAGCGTCCAAAACCTCAATCCCTCCAACATTAGCTTGGTAGGGTTTTCAGGAACAAAGGTTCGCGTCCTTAGATCAATCACACTCAAGGTCACCATAAGCGAGGGGGGATCACAAAGACAAGATCGGTGGAGTTCCACATGGCGGATTGCCCCTCGACTTACAACGCCATCCTGGGATGCGGTTTCCTTGCGTCATTCAAAGCGGTTGCGTCCACATGCCACCAGATGATGAAATTTCCTACCGGAAGACAAACAGGGCGCATCCGACTCGCCTCGCAACCATGGGGGCGTCCAGTCTCCAAAACGTGGAATGGTATGCCCCTGAGAAAGTACTACTCAGACGTGGTCTAAAGTACTTCATGTCGTAGTAGGGATATTTTAGGTGGCTAGGGTACTACTCCCACCACTTGTAATAGTGTATTGATTGCTACTAAGCAACCGCTTTTGCCCAAAGTAATACACTCACATTTTCGTCCAAACTTGCAAGTTGCCAGCAGTTCATGATTTTGCTAAATTCAGTTAGCTCATAAGTAATCAAGGCATAGATGCAATAGGTCTCAGAACACGCCTTCCAACCGAACGATGTAGTCAGCCGCACACCAACACAATCATGCCCAGCACGGCCGAGTAAGCATTCCACCGCGCTAAGACCTAGGTACAAAACTTAATAGGGGCACAAACCTCAACGGGCTTACCCGCTTCTCACAAAATTTATCGTCCCTAACACGATTAAATGATTTTCACCGCTCACGCAAACAAAACAAGTTAATAAGGCAATGCAAAGCGGCTTTGACATAAGAAACAACATAAAACCAGCTTTCACTAAGCAGCATGCTAATCGTTCAAAAGCAAGGGACGCCCGCGCTCCCAAAAATCATAGCTTAAAGTCAGAAACTACAAATCTTAAACTGGATGCTAGATAGCTCAAAAGACAGAAAAAAGCTAAAATTGCTTGCATCCAAACAAAGGACCGCCAGACGGTCTATCACAAAACATAGGGGCAATAGTGGGCGGTCGAAGGCGACCTCATACGCTCTGCGACCTCTCATTCCCATCGCTGCCTCCCTCCACATCATCTTAATCCTCATCTCCCTCTTCATCAGCCTCGGAGTTCACATCATCATCAGTCTAGCCGCCAATCGCATCCCAAACCCGATCAGTGTTCCATACCGCGTCAGGTTGTTCGCAACGGAACAAATGACGATTTGAGGCACACCCTTCAGCCACACTCTTCTTGAGCTTAGCAATCTCAATCGTAATCTCGTCGACGGTCTTGGACAGGCGGTCATTCAGCATGATAATTTG